CCTTCAAATGTGCTCAGTGTGGAAAGCGTTTCATATGTAAGGTAAGACTTAATTACCACATGAAGACTCATTCAGCAGATAAATGCTGTAAATGTGATCAGTGTGGAAAGCGTTTCATATGTAAGGTAAGACTTGATTACCACATGAAGACTCATTCAGCAGAGAAATGCTGTAAATGTGCTCAGTGTGGAAAGCGTTTCATATGTAAGGTAAGACTTGATTACCACATGAAGACTCATTCAGCAGAGAAATGCTGTAAATGTGCTCAGTGTGGAAAGAGTATCAGGAATAAATGTAGCCTCAATGCTCACATTAAAAAGCAACGCACTCGAGAGAAGCCTGTGGGAAGAGCTTCTCATAAATAGAAAATCTTAAGATTCACATGAAATATGTGTGGAATCGTGAAGAAACCCACATGAGATTTCACTCAGGGGAGAACTATTTCATATGCCATCATTGTGCAAAGTGTTTCACAGTCAAAGGAAACCTGAAGACACATAGGAGTTAACACTGGAGAGAGGCCTTTCAAGATCATTCTGGAAATAAAGTGTGACCGTGACGAGGTTTACCAAAAGAAGCAATTTTAAAAATCCCCAGCATATTCACTCTGGAGAAAGGCCCATTAACTGTGATCAATGTAATACATTTCTTTTGACATTACACCCGATAGATGCACCTAAGAAGTCATGAAAATGAGACGGTATTTTTGTGCTTTGTGGAGAAAGCTTAAAACGACCCTACAATTCAAAATAGCACAAGAAAATAGGCATCTGTTTGAAATGTTGTTTTTGTTAACTTTTTTCATACTTGTCTTGAGGCTTTTTGTTTTTTTCTATAAATGATTGCCTGTATCCACACCTGTCTCCTTTGCTATAGTTTCAAACATTACAGTAGACGCGCTCTAATTTCGATTGTATGGAGACATTGCGCCGTTCCGTTTACTGGTAACTTGGAATCAAAATATTACATTTCTGTCTTTCTGCAAAATGTAACTGATTATAAATAAAATTGCGAACTGCATAGTGAGAATTGCATTGAATTATTTGATGCATCTTTAGCAGTGTTGGCCATGTTACTTTAAAGAAGTAATTGGTTATAGTTACTAGTTTCTTCTCACAAATAGTAACTGTTAGTAACTGAGTTACATCATTATAAAAGTAACTAATTTACCAGGGAAAGTAACTATTGTTATTTTTTTTTTAAATGTTCAAATGTGTCAAATAACTTGGATGCCTCGATATTAAATATGTTGAATGAAATGGACTCTAAATAGAATAAATTATCATTAAAAAACATTGTACACTAATCTACACTATTTTAATGTTGCTGTGTGGGACAATGTGAGAGACACCGGTCAATAAATATATTATCTTTAATATAGTTGCACAATAACACAATAGATGGTTTAGAACTTTTAACATTTATTGCACAGGCCACAACTGGCCAACAAACAAGTCTAAAAATAAATTATACTTCACCTTTGGTAGCTGAGCTCACGTTATCTCCTGCGTTCTTAGCCACAAATTTTGTGGCAGCATGTGATGATGTGAGGTGCTTCATTAGATTAGAATTACTTGCCACCGACATGGAGAGACTCTTTCTTCTTGGGCATGAGTTGCACGTTACATAAACATTGTTGCGCTTTATAGCCAGGTATGTTTACACATACGAGGAATTTGTTTTAGTGACAGAAGCTCCACAGTGCAACAGAATGACAGTCACAAGACAAAACACAGATAATAAAAATAACGTACAAATATACAAAATAGACAATATACAAAATAGACAATTTTGGACGTACAGGTATGTTATTTGCAAATTTGAAATGAAAATAAGTATGTGTGTTTCACAAAAGAGTATGTTGTGAAATGTGAAGAATAGACAAAAACTTTGTCTTTCAGTCACTCAGGCATTGTGAAGAGGCAGGTTTGAAAAACACAGGAATGATGGCGCAGCCACAATAGCACGACAGTGCAAGGTCATTTATTTCCAATGTCCACAGTCCCAAAATACAAAATATTTAACCAACACCAAAATAATAATAAAAAAATAAATAAACCTTTACAAAATATTTACAACCAGTGCTTGGCTGAGCTACTTTCTACAAAAAAGCTTTTCCACTGGCATGGCTTGCACTACCAACTGTCCTCCTCAACTTCCCCCTCCCAAATGAGAAATAAATCAACCCTTTTATAGTGTAGAGAGAAAAGAGAGTAACCATTTGAAGGTAAATACAAGGTAAGGAATACTTTTTCAACCTTCTACAAAAAGGTAAGATAATTATACACACATTTCTCACGGGTATACAAGTCTTGATTCAAGCTATGCATGCATTATCCTTGATGGCAAACAGTTAAGACATAAATCAAGAACATTTTTCCCCGTTCCCCCTCCCCACACATAACCACATAGAACAGTCCAGCCGGCGGAAGGTTTGCGCATGCGCAGCCCGCGAAAGTTCCTGTCTTCAGCATTTACGAACCGCTGCTGGCGTTTGGACCCTTCTCATCTGCTGTACTCGCAGCAGATCCAACACGGAAGACGCCAAAAGCAAGAAACCTCACAGCATGAACAGAGACACAAACTGACAAATATACAGATAAGTAAATAAAAGATGTAATAATTAAACCTATCTAGTGTATGCGTGTGATTATTGAAATGGTTATAGCAGGGATATGTGAAGATTAAAGTGAGTGTATGCATGTATGCGAGCGAACATAACAGTAGCACAAACCCAAGTGTGCACCCGAGGGAAAGGCTATAAACTGTAACTGTATGCACGATGATGCATATAAAACTAAAGGGGGACGGGAGTTCAAGTGTTATCCCGGCCAGTGACAGAGTCCTCTGTCACAGCTGGGTGTGAGGGGTCCATAGTGATTTTGCTAGCCCTTTTGCTCACTCTGGATGAGTACAGTTCTTGGAGAGAAGGGAGGGTTGTACCAATGATTCGCTCAGCAGTCCGGACTACCCTCTGTAGTCTTATGAGGTCAGATTTGGTAGCTGAGCTGAACCAGACAGTTATAGAAGTGCAGAGGACAGATTCAATGATGGCGGAGTAGAACTGTTTCAGCAGCTCCTGTGGCAGGTTGAACTTCCTCTGCTGGGCCTTTTTAACAATGAAGTCAATGTGAATGTCCCACTTCAGGTCCTGAGAGATAGTGGTGCCCAGGAACCTGAATGACTCCACTGCAGTCACAGTGCTGTCCATGATGGTGAGTGGAGGGAGAGCAGGGGGGTTCCTCCTGAAGTCCACGGTCATCTCCACAGTTTTGAGAGTGTTAAGCTCCAGGTTGTTTAGACTGCACCAGACAGCCAGCTCTTCAAACTCTTGTCTGTAAGCAGACTCGTCACCGTCCTGGATGAGACCGGTGACTGTAGTGTCGTCTGCAAACTTTAGGAACTTAACAGAGGGGTCTTTAGATGTGCAGTCATTGGTGTACAGGAAGAAGAGCAGTGGGGAGAGGATGCAACCCTGGGGGGCGCCAGTGCTGATAGTACGGGTGCTGGATGAGAATTTTCCCAGCTTTACTAGCTGCTGCTTGTCTGTCAGGAAGCTGTTGATCCACTGACAGACGGAGGTGGGCACGGATAGCTAGGATAATTAGTTTGGACAGGAGGAGGTTTGGAATGATAGTGTTGAACGCCGAGCTGAAATCCACAAACAAGTCAAGTCAAGTCACCATTATTTATGTAGCACTTTTTACAATGCAGATTGTGTCAAAGCAGCTTTACAATATTAAACAGGGAAATTGTGTGCCGTTCTCCTCTGATCAGACGAAACCAGCAGTTTCATTCTAGGTTGCAACAAAGTCAGATTGTGCAGAGGACTCATCTGGTTCCCGTGGTCTTGTCACGATTGCCGTCTAGATGACAAGGTCTTCACTGGGGATCTGTCTCTGGGGCTCATCTAGTTGTCCTGGTCTCCGCTGACATTCAGGGCTGTAGAGGTCCTTTCTAGGTGCTGATCCACCATCTGGGCTGGATACGTACTGGATCTTTTAAAATTAAAAGAAAAATTTAAGTCTAGTTTTTTTTTTTATTCCAAATGAATTTTGATTTAACTTTTTTAAGAAAACTAATCAAATAGCAGGGCAGACTTTGAAATAAAAAAATTCATCCTAGGTAGGATGTTCATCCTTATTACATTAATCTTGCCAATAAATGAGATGGGGAGATTTGACCAGTCGGACAAGTCCTGACTAATTTAAGAAGTTAATGGGGTATAATTAGCTTTAAATAAATCACACAAGTTAGGTGTAATATTTATTCCCAAATATTGGAAACCAGAGGGAGCTAAACGAAATGGAGAGTCAGAAGTGGCTTCGGGGGGAGCATACAAGTACAAGGCCTGAGATTTATTTAAATTAATCTTATACCCTGAAAAAGTGCTATATTCTCCAATAATAGAAAGAATTACATCAACAGAAGTCTTGGGGTATTCGAAATATAATAACCACAGATCTACAATCTACAGCTATTATAAGAGCCATATCTAAACTTTACAAATCTGGTCTGGTCCGGTGAAACAACAGAAGAAAGGACGGATTCAAGGCGTCGAGCCATTGCTTTAGCCACAATTTTGCAGTCTACATTCAATAAACGAATCGGGCGATAAGAGGAGCCGTCCAAAGGATCTGTCTTTTTTCTAAATACGGCTGATAACGGCAGAGGACCAAGAATCAGGCATTAAATTTAAATCTAAAAGGTTATTAATTGCAGGCATTAAGATTGGGCTGATATCCTGCCAAAATTGCTTGTAAAATTCAAGTGGGAACCCATCCGGGCCTGGAGCTTTGTTTGAGGGCATGGATTGGATAGCTAGCCAAATTTCCTCCTTGGTGAAGGGTGCATTTAAAATAGTTCTGTCTGTCTCAGAGACAGAAGGAAGGAAGATCTTACTCATATAGTTTGATAAGTCCTCTTGCAAACCACAACCCTCAGCTTTATATAAAGTCCTATAAAAGTTGGAAAAAGTATCATTAA